GCTAATCTAAACATCCGCCTGATTCAGGTCATCATAGTTCGATTCTGGCTTGAGGACGCCGAAACTGGCCGAACGTCCAACAGGTCGGCCTGTACCACATCAGGGGAGGCTGGAGGTGGTGGGAAATGAGGGGCGAAACGGCAGAGCGGGCGGGCAGGCCAAATGCCTCGGTTGGGTAGAAATACCACATGTTGGCATCCGGTTTGAAGAGGCGAGTGACAGGGATTCGTAAGTTGGAGCTGTGATTGTGGACATGTTCGAATAAGTCCTCGGCACCACGTCACACTTCTCCCATAAACCACACAAATGGGCATTCTCAGAGTAGTAAACCATGCCTAACGATACTTTGCAAAGCACCTTTCTTGTCTTTGTGCTTGGTGAATTATCGTAAAGTATGATGTCATGCTCTGATGACCTCTGTCATTAAAGGACAGACGACAGCTTAGCAACGATTTGTCCGGGTCGCGGGACTATGCACCGAAGGCTGATTCGCCCAAATCTACAGTTTCACTTACAAGGCAATCGGATGAGGTCAACTTTTTAATCCTTTCCACTCGTCCTTCAAACCAAATAAAGGCCATATCAACATCGATCTATTCAAGGAGTCTTCGAGACCCAGCTTTTCGCGGTACCAAAACAAGACGAGATTTCAGACTCCGCATCGAGTCGACTCAGCTGACGAGAGTCTGTAGGGCCGATTCACGGGCTACCGTTTGGTCCATCTGCCTCGGGACGCATGAGAAGTCGAAAGAGGATTGGAAAAGGAGTCGAAAAGTTGAGTAGACTAACCGATGCCACCTTTCCTGCCACGCATATTCAAGATAGAAATAAAACCATAAATTTATGTATATGTCTAGATGGATAGATAGACTAGAATAGATTTGTTATTCCTTTTTACATTAATTTAAATACTTTTATACATGACATGTGTTCACCCCCATTTTATTTGACGTGATAAGGGGCTGGTAACTCAATTTTCCCACAACGGCATGAGTCGACGTTACGTTTTCATTTTCTTGCTTTGCCAATAGGTCTTCTCATCCCAGCTGAAGTGGACTGTCCTTTTCGACTTTGCCTCAACTGGTCTCATCAGAACCTTCAGCGGGACTCGAACCACGACAGTGCAAGGTATAACCTCAATGCATTACTCGCCACGCCAGACCGCCACGAGAGCCCTTGGAGCACAGGAAATTTGCGAATTACAAAAAGGAAAACGGGCATTTTCGCATTTCACATTCCTTGGTGGGATCGTCAATGAGGCAAAGTTGTATTTGCTGTAGAAATCGAACAAATTACTTATTTTTCATTTCATAAGTAAGTTTACGGGTCTGCCAGTAGATCAAGGACTTTTCAAGAGTATACGATGCACTACCAAGATCTGGGTTCAAGTCCCGCTGGGGGTGGTGATTAGACCAGATGGAGTGAGGCTGAAGCTGCAATCCACTTCAGTCTGGATGAGGCTACCATAAGGGAAAGCAAGGCTATGTGAAATTCAATGGAAACACAAGGTCTGCCCACCAGTCAGTCCCTTTCCCACCTTTAGAAATAGGATAAATGCCTCCTCAACCTACTTATAAAACG